GTGGATAATGAAAATGTGGTTCATTTATACAATGGAGTTTTACTCAGCAGTAAAGAAAGATGAAATCGTGAAGTTTGCAGGTAAATGGATGGAACTAGAAACGGTTACACTAAGTGTAGTAACACAGACTCAGAAAAAAAAATTGATGTATGTTCTCCCTCATGTGTGGATCCTAGAACCAAACCCTGATAAGTGAGTATATATCCAGACATAACTACAGGAACCAGGATAATGGAAAGGAATAAGGGAGGTAAAGGAAAAGAAAGAACCTGAAAGAGAAGAACAGTAGAAAACAGGCCTTAATAAGGGAGATAAGAATAAAAATTGGGTTAGTTTAAGGGAGAGGGGAGGGAAGGGTATACAAGGAACCTTGGAGATAAAGGGAAAGAAGGAGCTCAAGAGAGGTAGAATGGTAGGGGAAGGGCATTATTAAGGGAGAAGGAGGGAAATGGGGACACCTTAAGTGGGAAAACCATGGTGGAGGGGTGAGACAATGTGAGAGATAAATAATGCCTAGCTAGTTTTGAAAACCAGAGGGAACCATATTACTCCTATAACCTACTGACAAATTATACATAGCAGATCAAGAAATATATGTCTAGGTAAGGTTTATCTGAGAACAACTGGTCTTTACCCAAGATTTATCTACATGACATACAGTAATTAAAAGTACCAGACTTGTTGAGCTAACGTTCTTGGATGTTTAACAGACATACTTTGAGGCCTATAATAATTTGGTCAGAGGGACATGAAGGACACTTTTTGCTCCTTGCCCTCCTAGGTCGACTAGTTCCAGGGGACTATGAACTTCCCTCAAAATGTCCTGTAATTGTGGTGGGTCCCCTGTCCTCATGATCAAGGAGGCCAAGGAAACTGCACCAGATGGACTTGAACTGGTGTCCAGTCTGCAAAGAGGAGGGTCAACACAGAGGAATGATTTCCTCCATGCTTCCAAGCGGAGCCAACCATGGTCAAGCAGGACTTTTGACTTATCTTCACATAGGTGGAACTGGTAAAAGAAAGGAGCCAGGGGCTCCTCCCAGGCCCATGTGACCTCTGAGTAGCAGATCCTCAAATGACCTTAATAGTAAAAATAAATTGGTTTATCTGGGCCATCTGTATGGCCTTAAACACCCAAAAGGAACGTATAACCAAAGATTAAAGGGGCCAATACCATTTTTGAAGAGTCCATGTGCACAGCTAAAGGGCTACATAACAAGCAACAATGCCAGATAGGAGATACCTTCTTCTGAGTTTTTGGCTAGGGTTGCCAAAGGGACTCCCAGATAGTAACCCAGCATAGAACTGGGAAAATGAACAGCAAACCCCAATCTTATCTAAAGGAATATTGACAACTGAATGCTGCTAGATGAGGAACAGCTGACCCTCCTAAAACAAAGACCTCTAGATAGGCTGACTAGATTCACCAGAAGGGCAAGTAGTGGGGAATGGCTGGGGCTACCGACAACACAGCAGACAGTAGCATGGGTATCAGAGTATAAGGGCTCTAGGGCGGGGGTGGGGGTGGGAGGTGCTGGCTATGGGAAGGTGCCATTTGGGAAGTGGGCGTATAGTTGAATAAGATGGTTTGGGATCTTCTGTGTGAAATAGAAAAAATAAATCAACAAAAATTTAAAATGTATTATAGGAGGAGGTCTGGAAATTCACATCATGCTAATTAGTAGACATGATAAACATTACCATTGAAATCTACCTGATGACTTTGTAGACATATATAGGTGCCAAGGATCCAAGTGCAACCAATTATGACTAATAATCAGATTACAGATTAGAAATACATGAGCCAACATCTCAGCATTAGTAGGAAAAACAATGAGTCTTTCTGCAAGGAACAATATATTCTGAAATGAAATGGAGATCTTTTTTAAAGGTTAAAAACTCATTCAGTTTTATGACTTACAGTGCTTATAGTGAGTTCAATATTCCTTAACTGTATTAACTCAACTGTGAACCTAGAAACTTGCACCCTCTTGTAAAAGAGATGTACCCTTGCTCTGGAGTGTGTTACTGAATATGTTAAAGCTGTAGTGAAATGCTTCTTCTAATCATGTAGTTATTAAAAATTTTTTAAAACCCTGTGAAAATTTAAAAAAACAAAAAACAAATTAAATCATTCCTCTAATTTTGCCTTATCTATATAGCCACATGAAGCATTCCTTTGCTAACCTCTAGAGTATTCCTTCACACTGTGGGCCATTCAGGTGCCTCTTATTGCTCTTATCTCTCCTTTGTATTTGTGTGTGCCACTGAGCCAAGTAAGCTATTTGTTGACTACTTAAACTTCTTTTAAAAAATTTAATACTATACTTATTTATTTGGGACTTGGGGTGCACAGCACAACACATATGTAGGGATCACAGGACAACTTGCAGGAGTCTGTTTTTTCCCTCTACCATGTGGGTTCCCAGGATGAAACTCAAGTTTTTGGGCTTGGTAGCAAGTGCATTTTACCTGCTGAGAGCCATCTAGCCACTGAGCCATCTCACTGGCCCTAAACTTACCTTTTTTTTTTTTTGAGACAAGGTCTCGCTATGTATCTCTGTCCTGCAACTCACTATGTACACCAGGCTGGCATTGAACTCACAGATATCTACCCACCTCTGCCTCCTAAGTGCTGGGATGACAGAGTGAGACCATGTCTCAACACCGCCCCACCAAAAAAAAAGAATTCAAATTCCTGAAGAACCAAGACTTCAGTCTAATTCTACACAGTGCCATATATCAAGGTTTTTTGTTTATCCTCTGATGATGTAAATAAAGTTATTTTATTTCTGCATCCTAGAATGTTTTCCAACAATATTCAGCCAATGACTAATAAATTTTTTGTCAGGATTATAATTATATCTGCCTTTAGGTTTGGGGAACATGGACGGAACCTGATTTGCACCTTGAAGAGCTCAGCTTAATAAAAATGTGTCTCTTTGAAAGACTTTTATTTATTGTGGTTTTGATGGACAGTCTTGGTATTCATTTCTTGATTCCTTACTTCTTGGTACCTTATTTCTGTTCAAGTAGAATTTTGCTCTGATAGAGCAGACAACTGTGTTTTCTGAAAATTTAAGATACTCCCTTGAATTCTGTACTAGAGAAGTAAACAGATTATTTTACATTGCATAATGGAAGTAAATTGTTAAGAACTTGGTTTTCAAGATAAGGAGCTCTCCTCTTCACACTGACAAATCACTGTAGCTTTTATTGGTGAGTTCTTGAGTTACAAACATGGCAGTGGAGCTACTTTCCACTGGCCGTGGTTAGGCTGGTTGGTTAGGCTGGTTATTGTTAGAACTCCAGCTTACAATACAAATGCACAGTATTTTAATACTAAGAAATGTTTACTGTTTACTTTTGTGGATTTTTATGATTATGTGCATGTGTGAAGAGCTGAGGGGTTAGTGGACATTTTAAGTATGTTTGCCTTGCTACTGAAATAACTTTTCAGTCTAAACAGATGGATGTTCCCAGCTCATGAGAACTTCTGTATAATTGCATGCTAAGTGTATTAGTCACTTTTCTGTTGCTGTGATAGAAACACTGACCCAAGCAATTTATAGAAGGAAGAGTTTATTTTGGCTTACGGTTCCAGGGGAATTACATGTAGTCTGTCATGGCAGGGAGGCATGGTGGCTGGAGTTGGCTGGAGCAGGAGCAGCAGAAGCTAAGCTCTCACATCATCACACAGGCACAGGAAGCAAGAGAGCAACTGGAGATCTGGCAAGGCTTAAGAACTCTCTAAGCCCACCCCCAGTGACATGCTTCCTCCAGGATAGCCACACCTTCTAAAACCTCCCCAAACAGCGCCATCATCTGGGGACAAAATGTCCAAATACTTGGAGCCTATGGGGGACATTTTCATTCAAACCACCCCACTAAGACAGATGGATATTTTCTGAAGTACTTTGGAAAGTTGCCTGTAATTTTATTTTTTCCTTCTAGGCAGGTATTCAGCAGCCTGTTTTGTTGTACCTTGCAGTATTCCAAGTTCTACCTTTTTCACTTGTAGGAATTCTAGAGATCAACAAAAAGGTAAGAACGCATATCTTATTTAATTGTAATATTTTATTGACAATAAGATGTAATGACACTATTTATTTACTAGCTGTTTTGATTAGGAATGTTCCCTGGTCTGTAAAATGTTTCTGATCTGGCTTATTTCATTAAAAAAGAAGAGAACATTTGGCTTGAGAGGAGCCTAATTATCCCTTTATCCTTTTGTGTATTTTTATGCCTCTTGGTTGGTTAATATTGAAAACCTGTGGTCATTAACAACTTATATTTTATAAAATTATGAAATACCTAAGGCATTTTTTTCAAAGGGAATATTTCAAGGCTTGTAAAAATGATCATTAAGCTTCAACAAAATGTCTTGTTTAATTGTAAGGTATATGTCTAAAACTTGCTTTAACTTGTAATGAAGTATGTAAATTTTCTAACTCATTCAGTTCAGGTTTTTATTGCATTCCCATTTATCTTGATATAGCTGCATGGAATAGTTAACATGGGAGGAAAGAAGAGACAAATTTCAGTTGATTGAGAGTTGTATTCTACTTTCTTTTAAAACAAATTTTTACTTTGCATAAAGTTATCTCAGGGCATTCTTCTAGTCTTTAAACACCAAAAAATCTTGTAGAGGATAAGATCTTGATGCTCTATTGTGCACTAGAAAGCAAGACTAATATATTGAAATATTTTATATTATGTAACCTTATCCTAAACTGAATAAACTAGTTATCACTGTGTATTTCGTGCTTGACACTTTAAGTATTTTTTAAAAACATTGTAACAGTGTATTCTATTAAGATGTTAAGCAACTACTTAAATCTTGATTATAAATATAGGAGCTAAAATTTGAACCTAGATTTGACACAAAAGTACAAGCCAATTTTAAAAATAGAGCAGCTATTTTATTACAGCACTTATTAATTTTAAAATGTTTGAATTACCCAAGTACTCCTTTCAAAGTGTGGGACCAAGATCAGTAAATTAAAAAGCTATGAGCTACCCAACTCAGAGCAAACCATAATTATCTTTCTAAGAGAATGACAAAAATCCCAACTTGTAGTTAATTGTTCTCTTTATGCTTATGGATTAAGTGATTATATGTGTATTACATTATATCATAGGAACAAACACTTAGCAAAGTCAAAAATTGTTCCTTTGTATCCTTATATGTCTGAGGTAGTCATTTGAGGGATTTAGTTTTGATTATTATTACTTGGGATTAAAGCACATCTTTTACTTAAAATAGGTGTTTAAGATGACACGAGAGTTGGGCTCTTAAATAGTCTTATGTACTTAAGCTATTTATTGGTAGCGTACATCTTCACTAAGTAATCTTTCTTGAGTAGAAATAGAAACAGATTTTTATTTTCTCTCTACTTTCATTGCTAAGAATATTTGCCTATGTTGCTTTTGTTAAATATTAAAATAGCCACAGAATCACGTTCTTTCTCAGCTGCAAATCATGACATGATTCCAGAACAGAACAATAAGCAAAAGCCTTACTCTAGCTAAATGTCTTTGGGGTTTTCATCTTTAACATGGTTGCTTTTTATGTGGTTGATAAATCAAACCATACTATAAAGTTGGGAGTGCCACAGTGATTTTAAAAAAAAATGTGGAGCTGGGGATCAGGCAGATGGCTCAGTGAGTAGGAGCTCTTGCTCTGCAAGCATGAGACCCTGAGTTCAGATCCCCAGCACTCACATAAAAATCATACTCACCTGTAACCCCAGCACTAGCAGGGATGGGGTGTCACCCAGCTAGCCTGGCTGCAAAGAATGGCAGGCTCCAAATTCAGTGACAGAGATGCTGTCTTCAAGGGAATAAAGTGGAGCGTGATAGAGCAGAACACACAGTGTCATTCTCTGCATTCCACATGTGGGCCCAGGCACACACACACAGACACACATACAGACACGCAACATATACACTACATCACACCACACACACACATACCACACAGATCTGCAGTTGGCTCTTTGAAATTACTTTCCAAGATCTGATCTTTTTACCTCTAAACAGTTATTAATATTTGTCTGTATGGCCAGGTGTGGTGGTGCATGCTTTTAATCGCAGCACTCGGGAGGCAGAGGCAGATGGATCTCTGTGACTTGGAGGCCAGCCTGGTCTACGTAGTGAGTTCTAGGCCAGCTGAAGCTACGTGAAGACCCTGTCTCAAAAAGACCAAAAAATAAATAAATAAATAAATAAATAAATAAAATTGTCTATATGAAGATTTCAGTATAAATAATAAGTCTCTAGTTTGTATACCTGATACCCATTTTAAAATTATGTGGCCTTGCTGTATACTGTCCCTTGAGGAATAGCATTTATTATTACTAGATATTGACAAAGCTCCGAAGCATTGTGTGCTATGCTTTCATTGGTGCTCCAGCCCGAGAAACCATTGGCTTACTGCTTACCTAGCCTTAAGTAGCTACATTTTAATTAAGTTTTAATGCTAGGCAGCAATGTTAAAGTGATGACCAGATTATAAAGCAGGAATATAAACATTTGTAACACTCAGAGGATTGGCCTTCTGGTCTTAGTTGATATCTGCCTTTCCCCCCAGATTTTCGGGAACATTACAGATGCTACTTTGTCTCATGGAATACTGATTGTGATGTACAGCTCGGGACTAGTCAGACTGTATAGCTTCCAAGTCATCATCGAACAGGTAGGGAAAACTACAATGTGACATAATTAGTATGATGTTTGAACTGAAGTACGTTTTTCTTTTTTAATGAGAGTCAGGTGCTCGTGTGGTTTTAAACTATAAAATGTATAGAAATGTGAAAAAGACAAAATAACCTTTATAAGAGGGGTGGGAGGATGAAAGGCCATTGAATGAAAACATTTTCTCTGTCATGTACGTGTGAATTTAATTTTTTCTTTCCAGAAAGCAAGTAAATGGGCTCTAAAGCCACCATTTTTGTTTTGTTTTGTTTTTAGTTCATGCAACAGAAACTTGACTTAGGGTGTGCATGCAGATGGGGTGGGACTACTGGAACTGTAGGAGAGGCTCCCTTTGGCATTCCTTGTAATATAAAAATCACAGGTACGGCTGTATACAGTATTTTTTTCACCTTAAAAGTAAGTGGTCATATAAATAGTTTTTCATTGTAGCCATCCAAGTGTTTTCTCTTTAATTATAAATGGGTTCATTTTACTTCCATGTAGCATGTTGCTTTGTACTAAATAAATGTCAGCAACATCCTGTCAGTTATTCGTTGAAGTTAAGGAAGGCTTGAAGATGCTAAGCCTTGCTTCATCAGAGATTTTTGGCAAGCTGTTTTACCTTTCTGATCCTTGATTTCCTTGTCTGGAAAATGATGAGTTACAGCAATTCATACGATCTTTAGCTTCCTTACAACTTAAGATTTTTTGATTTTATAAAATGTACACATTTCTAAGAATGTTGTTTTTCTAGGAAATATTAATATTATGCCAACTAAAGGTAGGCAGATCCTGGATCTAGAGAGAACTTCTAGTATACTTACAGATTGACAGAACATAAAAAAGAAAATTACACATGATTCTATAAACATGTTTAAAAAATTTCTATATTTTATACCAATGTAGTATCTCATTTATGCCTATAATCCCAAGACCTGGAAGGTAGAGGCAGGAGGATCAGGAGTTCAGGCTCATCCTTAGCCTTATAGTGAATTGGAGGCCAGCCAGAGTTATATCAGACTCTGTCTCAAAAAACAAAAACCCAACTTTATTCAATTCAGCAACTAATTAAAAATAAATATATTAAAAGAAATGAACCAACAAGATGGAGTCTAGCCTGAGCTATTTGAGATCCTGTTTCAAAAAACAAAAATAAAATGGAAAATGTAAATGATAATGTTCAAAAACATAGATGAGATTATTACCATTATAGAGCAGTATAATTCAGTGATGTTTCTTATATCTGTCTAAGAAAAGAGGCAGATTACACAGGAATCTCAGAGTGTATATTTCACATTAGAAACTTCAATCCTGTGTCTAGAACTTACCTCAGAATCCAAGGTTGTTTGATGATTGCAAATAGAAATAAAAATCCCTTGAGCCTATTCAAAGAGAAAATATATTTTATTATCCTAGTATATTTATCTTTATCTTAATTTATTAAGAGTCATTCCTTATGTTGAAAACATTTTCATCTGTTTCCAACTAATAAACATTGTATTTTTAGGTAAAACTCCAAAAGGTTTTCTAACATAAATGGAATAAGGCAAGATTTTTCCCCATCATTATATTGTTGTATCATCAAACATGTCAAGAAATAGAAATGAAAGATGTAAGAATATTATTTTTAGTAGTTAATGAAAATTATATAATCTGTGCAGAGTGTCCAATATAGCCAAGTAAGTTATCCATGAAGTTCAAAATAAATATTTTTTTGATATTGTACAGTGAACAAATCTTTTTTTTTTACTATTTTATTTATTATTTTTATTTTATGTGTATGAGTGTTATGCCAGCATGTAGGTGAGTGCACCCATGTCGTGCAATGCCCGCGGAGGACAGAAGAAGCTGTCGGATCCCTTGGAACTGGAGTTACAGACAGTTGTTAGCTGTCATGTGAGTGCTGGGATTAGAACCCAGGTCTTCTGCAAGAACAGTCAGTGTTCTTAAGCCCCACAAATCTTTTATTTAAGGGATTTCACATGACTTCCTTCATGTCCATTGGGGCAAAAATAAATATTTTTAACGTGACTCTTTTAAATACCTTGAACCAGCTGAATTATGCACCTTTATGAAATTCCAACAGTACTTCCTATATTCAATATAAAAACATTCACAAGAATCTTTTAGGAATGTGACATACTGTCTCAGTCAATGAATGAATGAATCAATCAATAAAAATAAAATAATATTTGAAAGCATGATCTATGGAATTATTTGTCACTATAAAATGATATAATGATGTTTTGGAAGTCTGCCTAAGAAAAATAGCAAGTTAGATTGGAAGTGTGTACTTCACTCCATAGAAAGTGCAATCTTATTTAATTCTCCAGATTGATTTTTCAGTGTTATTAAGTTCTATACAATATAACAGTGTTTTGACTTTTAACTTTATTCTTAGTATAAAAGCAGCTCATTTTCATTAAAGAAAAATTGGGAAATACAGATAAACAAAAGAAAGAAAATTTGAAACATTCATAGTCCTTTTATGTGAAATTGTTATCACTTCGGTGTACTTTTTTCATTTTATAGTATATATGCATATTTCTATATGTATAAGACCCCCCCTCCCCCCAAAAAATCATACCATAAATGCTCTTGGTTTGGAGCTTTGATTGTGGTGTGTGTGTGTGTGTGTGTGTGTGTGTGTGTGTGTGTGTGTGCACGCGCACATGCGCTTGTTTGTTTTGAGACAGCATCTCACCAAGAAGCCTAGGCTGTCTTGGAACTCATTATGTATCTGAAGCTGGCTGAAAATTCATGTTCCTTCTGCTTCAGCTCCCAAGTGCTGGGATTATAGGCATGTGCCACCATACCTGGCTCTATAAATGCCCTTGCATAACACACTTTTACAAATGCTGGATGTGGTGATGCATGCCTTTAATCCCAGCACTCGGGAGGAAGAGGCAGGCATATCCCTAAATTCAAGGCCAGCATGGTCTACATAGTAAGTTCCAGGTCAGCTGGGGCTACAGAGAGACCCTGTCTTAAAAAGACCCCCAAAAAATATTGTATTAAGACATAATTTATAAATAAACATACCTATTATAATGGAACAGTTGGTTTTTGCCAAGTGTATAGACCCATGAAACCAATTTAAAATCCTTATCTCCCTCAAAAGTTCCCCTGTGCCCTTCCCAGTCAGTTCTCTACTCACCCTAGCTGTGGGCAACCAATGACATCTTTCTTTTATTATAGATTATATTTTCTAGAGTTTGAAATAAGCAGTTATATGGGTATATGTACTTTTTCCTCTGGCTTCTTTCACCTAGGTTATTACTTTTGAGTTTTATCTCATGTTGTTGCATGTAGCTACAACTTAACTCACTTTTTAATGTCAATACAAATATTACATTGATGAGGCCTGAAAGTATAGCTTAGCAGTAGAGTGCCTGTCTAGGCCCTTGGTTCTGCCCCTAGTACCATGATGGATGGATGGATGGATGGATGGATGGATGGGTGGATAGATGAATGGATAGATGGATGGATTTATAAAACAATGAAGTTGGAATTCTGTCTCAACTATTTATACTAAAATAATAGATGGATTAGGATATAAAAGCTCTAGAGGGGCTGGGTGTGGTGGCACATGCCTTTACTTCCAACAGAGGCAGGCCTGTAAGTTCCAGGCCAGTCAGGGCCACATAATGAGACCCTGCCTCAAAAACAACAGCAAAAAAAAAAAAATCTAGATGAGAACTTGGGAGAATCTTTCCATCTCAGGGTAGGAAAGACCTTTAAGTATGATCTAAAACCTAAGTCATGTAAGAAGAAATGGATAAATCTGATTAAATAAAATTCTACATGACAAAACAAAAACAAACTTGCAGCAGTAACAAAATCCAATATATGCTTAAGAAACTAACTAAAAAAATTCAAATGGTATGGTGGATGTGGTTGCAAGCCAGTAATCTGAGCACTGAGGAGGCGAGGCAGGAGTTTTATAAGTTTGAGACCATCTTGGGCTATATCCAGGCCAGTCTGTGCTGAAAACAACAAAAATCAAATAACAAATGGAACACTTTTGGAAAACATACTCTAAAGGGGTAGTTTCCTCAAAATAGAAAGTGTTCTGCAGATCAGAACAACTGACAACAGTTGAAAAGGAGCTAAGTAGGTTGTGCAAAAGAAATGAACTATAAAAGAGTTAATTGGAGGAGTACAAATTTCAAGGTCCCTAGTAAGAGAGATGCATGTTATAAGACATTTTCTCAGACTCTCAAATATCAAAAAGTTGGAACTTTTACTAAAACATGGGTGGTGAAGGTAGAAGAGGCAGAATGCATTATGTGGACCCTTCAAGGAGGACAGTTTGTCAGTATGTATCAGACATTTAGATGCAGAGAATCCTCTAACCTAGTGAGTCCTCATATCGATCCTCAGAAGAAAACATTTTTCATTTCTGCTTTATCCTTTTTCTTTTTTTCACGATAAGAAAATATGTGTATGCATACTTTAAATGCTGCCTTTTTGCTAAAGTTTTTAAAATAAAAATTTATTTAGAAAAATAATTATCCTTTATATTTAAAATTTAGAAAATTCTTTTATAGACCTTCCTTTATAAACAATACAGCAATCATTTTGTGTACTTTATATTAGAAGTCTACTTTGAAGTATTACTGTTTGACTTTTCACAGTCTCAAAGTATACTAATTAAGGCCAGACCTGTGGGCAGCACATCTATAATCCCAGCATTCAGTAAGGTAAGACAGGAGGATTGCCATGAGTTTAGGGTCAGCCTAGGCTACATAGTTAGACTTTGTCCGAGAAAACCAAAAGTATTCTAATTAATCATAGTTATTTTCTGGCAGGCATGGTGGTGTACACATGTAGTCCTAGCATTCAGGAGGCTGAGACAAGAGAACTGCCACAAATTCTAAGCTAGCCTGGGCTACAGAGCCAGTATCAGGCCCGCCAGGATTACGTAGTGAGATCCTGTCTCAAGAAAAACAAAAATAAAAAGTGTCTCCTTTTCCACAATCCAACCTTAGAAGCGTCTTTGGCGCTTCTCCATGCTACTCTGAGAGCCTTCTGAAAATCCTTGCTTCTTAGCTATAGGATGATCCAGACCCATCTGGAAATTTTCTCATCAGAAAGCATGGAATCAGCTACCATTTGAGGATGTCTAGGCCTTTATAATCATCCAAATTTGAGTTCTTGGAGGATTAGCAAGTCTCTCAGGGTTGTGCTAAACAGAAACTTGCTACTATTTTAGTGCTATTTTCAATAACTGCTGGGGAAAGTATTTCTTTTTAAATACATATTTCCATTGATTATTTTCCCAGTTTGAATTCCTATTCACATCCTCTGAAACATACCTAATTAAATTTTAATACTGGATTGAAATTCTAGTTTTTCTTAAAGTTCTTATTTTCCTCATTTACTGTATAGTATAGCCATCTACTGACTCATGCCCTTTGACCATTTTTTTAAACTGGGTTATTAATATTTTTCCTATTATTTAAAGACTTTTATGTACTAAAGGCATTACCCTTTTCTTAAAAGTTTTTTAAGTATCTTAAATATATTTGATATATGTATACCTGTTCCTTCTTCATGTTTGTGAGCTGCTTTGCATTGTTTTTCTCCTATGTAAAGATCTAGGAAGTAAATAGTTCTTACAAAGAGTCCCAATAAAGCACACTTTTTTTTTTTTGTCTTTTTGAGACAGAGTCTTGTAGCACCAGCTGTCCTGGAACTCACTATGTAGACCAGGCTGGCCTTGAACTCACAAAATCCACCTGCCTCTGCCTCCCAAGTGCTGGGATTAAAGGCGTGTGCCACCACGCCCGGCTAAATTTTATTTTTTATTTTATTTTTTTTATTTCATGTTTATGAGTGTATTGCCTGCATGTATGTGAGCGCACCCATGTCGTGCAATGCTGCGGAAGTCAGAAGAGAGCTTCAGATTCCCCTGGTACTGGAGTTAAGGACGGTTTGTAGCCGCCATGTGGGTGCTGGGAATCGAATCCACGTCCTCTGCAAGAGCAGTCAGCGCTCTTAATTGCTGAGCCATCTCTCCAGCCCAAAGCACACATTTTAATGTCTGGCACGCAACTTTTCCATGAATGATCTTTGTAAGATAAACCCCTTTAATACTAGTGCCTTTGCAAACCAAAAGTTTACAAAGGGCAAATCAAGAGGTTGCCGATTAGCCACCTAATTTGTAGCCACCATAGGAAATGGTGATCTCAAGCTGCAATACCTTCTTATACTTTTAAGACTAGGTCTATTATGGGGCTGGAGAAATGTCTCAGTGCTAAGAACACTGGCTGCTCTTACAGACGATCTGATTCCTAGCACCGACACGGTGGCTAACAAACATCTGTAACTCCAGTTCCAGGGGATCCATCACCTTCTTCTGATCTCGATGGGCATTGCATGACATGAGTACATTTATATACATGCAGGCAATATACTCATACACATAAAATAAAAATAATAAAAAATTTAAAAAAGAATAGATCTATTATGGTGTAATTAAATTGTGATCAAAGAGGAAGACTGAAAAGCACGAATAAAATTTTCTTTGATGTCCACTCTCAAAAGAGACTGTGATTAGATATGTCAGATCCACCTTAAGTTTAACTTGTTTGATGATGGTACTAGTAGTGGTGGCTGCCCTTTAATAAAGCCTCCATTGTGGCAGGTCTTGTCCTCACTGGTTGCATTAATTCTGACTAATGTTGCTTTTACACAAGAAATGTTATACAAGACAGACCTCATAAAGTTTGCTGGTGTATGCCTGTTAACCTACGATACGAAGGTCTCCTTGCATTTGAAAGATTTACTAGACCTCATTACCTGGTATGATTGTTATGGGAGCTGGATGCTGCAGCTTGTACGTAGCAGATGCTCAATCAGTGGCAGCACCTTTAGTCAGCTTTTTATGTCTGTGTACATGTAGGCCACATAAACCCCCAAAACAGATGCCCAGAAAATTTATTCATAGCCTAATTTTGTTTCCTACCAGCTTAGCAATAAGCCTCTTTCCTGATTGCATTTTATTCCATTTAACATAGTAATTTTTCATTAATGGAACTTTATAAATTATGCACACATACCAAGAAAGGTTGAACTTAGTTAATGAATTTTGCAAGGCCACCAGAAATGAGAAACTAATAAATTCCTCTTGCTTGTCTTTAAAGATCCCCTACCACTGCTCTTTGAAGTTTCATCCCTGGAGAATGCATTTCAGATCGGAGGCCATCCTTGGCACTACATCATCACACCTAATAAGAAGAAACAGAAAGGAATTTTCCATATTTGTGCCCTAAAGGATAATACCTTGGTAAACATGAGCATTCAATTATTTTAGCAATAAATTTGTACTAGAAATTTTTATTCCCTAGTAGCTGTACTGTATATGTTCCAAGAATCATTTTTTATTAATTTGTTTTAATAATTTGTGGAAAATTTAAAATATAGGAGTAGAGAGAATATAGAAAATACTGTTTGGGGCTGGGCGTGGTGGCGTATGCCTTTAATCCCAGCACTTGGGAGGCAGAGGCAGGCAGATCTTTGTGAGTTCAAGGCCAGCCTAGGCTACATAGTGAGTTCCAGGACAGCTGGGGCTACAAGGAGACCCTGTCTCAAAAAGAAATTTTTTTTTTTTTTTGGTCTTTTTGAGACGGGGTCTCCTGTAGCCCTAGCTGGCCTTGAAATCACCATGTAGCCCAGGCTGGTCTTGAACTTACATAGCCAAAGCTGATCTTTAACTCCTGATACTCCCGTCTTCACATTCCAAGTGCAGGAATCAATAGGTGTGTGTCACCACACCTGCCTAAGGAGTTTTGTTCTTAACAGTCTCATAGTGGGGACCCATGGGAAATATCTCTCATATGCTACTGTGGGATTGTTGACAGACTGTGTTTAGGCTGCCTCTGGAATTGCTGTGGAATGTGTTGTTGATTTTGTTTCTACATGGGATGTGGCTCTTTACTCTTCAAAGTAGAACAGGATGGAGTTCTGGAGATCACAGTGTAGGTGTTGAGAAACTGCATTTTCAAGGGTTTTTCTGAAGTTGCTTATGGCATGATAAGAAGCAGTGGCCCATGATAAAACAGTAGACATTTTTACCTATTAAATTCATCTTCACTTTCCTTCAAAATATAATTGAGTTGTTGATTTTTCCATTTAATCATTTATAGAAAGTCTAGCATGGCCAGACATAGCTGGGGACACATTTTCTTTCCTCAAGTTGCTTATAGTCTCAAAAGGAAGGTGCTCTCGGGGCTGGAAAGATGGCTCTGTAGTTAAGAGCACTGACTGCTCTTGCAGAGGACCTGGGTTCAAATCTCAGCACCCACACGGTGGCTAACAACCATCTATAACTCCAGTTCCAGGGGATCTGGCACCCTCTTTTTACCTCCATAGGCATTATAAGACACGGGCGCACTTGCATACATGGAAACAATACACTTATACATGTAAAATAAAAATAATAAAATGCAATAGACTTTCATGCAAGCAATACACTCATACACATAAAATAAAAATAATAAAATATTTTTAAAAAGACTGATCTCAGGGGCTGGAGAGATGGCTCAGCGGTTAAGAGCACTGACTGCTCTTGCAGAGGACCCAGGTTCGATTCCCAGCACCCACATGGTGGCTATGAACTGTCCTTAACTCCAGTTCCAGGGGAATCCCAAACCCTCTTTTGACCTGCAGCAATGCACAACATGGGTGCACTCACATACATGCAGGCAATACACTCATACACATAAAATAAAAAAAATAAATAAATAAAATACTTTTTTAAAAAAGACTGTGATCTCTTTTCTTGCCTTAAATGCTAAACAATATTAGACCATTTCCTCAGATAGGAGAGTTTAATATTTGACTTATCTAATATTATGTGACTTGTGTCAGAGATTACAAGTTTGGTTACATGTTTGCGTGTGTGTAACCCAGTCTTCTGATTGACAGGTCGTTGCGGTTAGGGTTGAGAGGAAGAAGTTGTAGGAAATTACATATGAATAATAATAGAAAGTCTATGGACTTTGGAGTCAATAGATCAAAAGTCAGATCTATTGTTGGGCAAAAGATTTGTTCTCTTTGTGTGTCAATCTCTTTAGCCATAAAGTAGGGTTAATATCTGCTCTGAGTGTTATCAAAGTCGAATGGAATGGTGACAATAATGCATCTCCATAGTTCCTAACACAAAGTATGTGCATGAAATGTGGTAACTTATATTCCTATTACTTGTGAGGTATGCTGCATGCCATGGAGTAAATCCAATGAAATTTCTGACTTTAAATGTTCTGAGTTTCTCAGGTTTGAATGTGCCCCTTTGGCCAATACACACACCTCAATTCAACTGGTTTATGCTTTCTTTTTCCTATGCTTTTGCATACCTGAAAGTGTTAGGTTTGAAATTTTATTTGATTTCCCTCTAATCTTTTTTTTTCAATATTTTTTTTTTTTCCAATTCCAGGCAAAAAATGGGATCCAAGAGATGGAATGCTGTTCTCTAGAATCTGACTGGATCTATTTCCACCCTGATGCTTCTGGAAGAATAATACACGTTGGCCCAAATCAAATCAAGTGAGTAATTTCATTAGCACCTTAAAATTAAAAGTAATTTTTGAAAGCATTATTGGCATCTTTGTTTTTGCCTATAACTACTGTGACTCTGAATAATTCGCTTGTTGAGAGTATCTCTGCAGAGACTGGCATCTATAAAATGTGGTTTATTCATAGCTTCCTCATTACTGTTTATAAACATTGTATGTAAATTCCTGGATAGATGATACATGAATGAATGAAGGGGAATTATAGATTGATGTTGCTCATTGAGAGTTTTTTTGTTTTGTTTTGAGATAGGTCTTAAGATATTACTGGTTGCAAGTATATGTAGCCCTGGCTGGCCTTGAATTTATAATCTTCCTACCTCTACCTACTGAGTGCTAGGGTTACAGGAGTGTACCACATACCTAACTGGATGGATCTTAATTAATTTCCTAAGATTAATGAGGAAGAAGATGACTGAGCCTGGTGGTGCATGTCTGTAATCTCAGCTACTCAGGAGGCCAAGGCAGAAAGATTGTAAGTTCATGGCCAGCCTGAGCAACTTAGCAAGACTTTGTCCCAAAACAAAAAGTGAAAAAAGGGCTAGGGATGTATTTGTATTTCAGTGGTAGAGCACTTGCTTAAACATGTGTGAGGTACTAGATTCAGTCTCTGGTTTAAAAAAATATGTGATTTGTGTTTGTTCCGAAAGCCTTAATACAGAAAAGATAGTCGATGGTTTTTGTTTTCTGAAAGCCTCAATACAGGAAAGATAATAGATTGATTTTTGTTTTACAGTTTTACAAGTTGGCCTCTTTTCCTTTGAACTGTTCTTTATTTGACTTCCCTGACGCCAGAGTATTTTCCTCCATCTCTTAACTGTCTTTTGAAGTAATCTTTCATATTCCAATCTTCTACCTAGACTTCCACTAATTGTTGATTGTCCTTAGTACTTAGGTCTTCTCAGTCAATATTTTCTTCCTGTTTGATTCTAGTAATTCCCTTGGCTTCAAAAATTAAACTACTGCCCTTCCTGCCCCACACTTTATATACTAGCCCAAATCTCTCATCTGGCTCATGTCAGAAATCTGAATAGAAAGCTGAAATTATTCTTTTTTTTAAAAATTTTATTTGTTATTTTTAATGTATGCTTGTATTGTCTGCATGTAGGTAAGTGCACCCATGTCATGCAATGCCCATGGCAGACAGAAGAGGATGTTGGATCCCCTGGAACTGGAATTATGGACAGTTGTTAGCTGCCATGTGGGTGCTGGGATTCGAACCTGGGCCTTCTGCAAGAACAGTCAGTATCCTTAACCACTGAGCCATCTCTCCAGCCCCAGAAAGCTGAAATTATTCTTGATGTTACCTTGTCTTCTTGTCTTTTATCAATATGTATACATTTAAGCACTTGTACATTCTCTCTCTCTCATGTATACACATCCTGCTAATGTCATTTATTTTACTATTTCCCAAGTGCAGGTGTTACAGATATCCCATGACTGGTCTTAACATTTCTTAAATCTGTCTAAACATTTCTGCCCTTGCCCACTGTCATCATTTTTTGTTAGACCTTCATCCTCACTAAGAATGATGACAATAACAGCCTATTACGGGACCCCTAGAATCTGCTCTGCACTTTGTCTTCTTCTCAGGAGTGAAAAAATGGAACTCCCCATGCTCTGAGCTCCTTACAGATATGTTCCATCACACCTGGCTTCACACTTATCTCTTTTTAATTTATTTTTATTTTTATTTTTTGTGTATGAGTATATTGCCTGCAGGTATGTAAGTGCACCTGTGTTGTGCAATGCCCACAGAGGGTGTCAGATCCATGGAACTGGAGTTATAGATGGTTGTTAGCCACCATGTGGGTGCTGGGAATCAAACCTGGGTCCTCTGCAAGAGCAGCCAGTGCCCTTAACAGCTGAGCCATCTCTCCAGCTCCCACCCTCATCTGTTTAATGTTTGTTGCTAGCCCTATTAGCTTAAGAAAATAAGATTGAGAGCTGTGTATTGCTCAGTAGCAGGGCTTGTTTAGCATGTGCAAATCCAGAAAGAAGAAAAAAAACTAAAAAGGAATTGAAGGAAAGAAAAAGAAAATAAGGTCCACAAAGAGTACATCTTTTCTCAAGTTATATAAGATAAGCCCTTTTTAATATTGCCACTAATTGAGATAACTAGCGATTTAAAACATCTGATTTCTTATTTCTAGCAGTGTTGAGTTGTCCAGTTATCCTTGTCCACAGTAGCTGTTTCTCCTTGCTGTTCTCTTTGCGTGCATATGAGACTTTGAGCTTTGAGAGCATAGCGCTTTTGAAGATTCTTTTTTAAATATTTTTATTTATGTATATGAGTGTATTGCCTGCATGTAGGTAGGTGTATCCATGTCATGCAGTGCCCATGGAGGTCAGAAGAGGGCATCAGATCCCCTGGAACTGGAGTTATGAACAGTTATTAGCTGCCATGTGGGTGCTGAGATTCAAACCTCAGTACTCTGCAAGAGCAGCCAGTGCTCTTAATAGCTGAGCCATCTCTAGCCCTGCTTTTGAAACTACTTAATAATATGATCAGATTTGTATATGTGGGAAGCAAATTGTTTTATTTTCTCTTGCTTAATAAGTTTGACCCTTGAGAACATTTGTACTTAGCAAACCCAAATCTTTAAATATAATCCTAAGAAAAAAGTATTGTCATTTGCAGGTTTTAAACATTATAATGAAAACTCTTACATTTAGTTGCTGATCCAGTCTCTACTGGTAACTCTTAAGTACTGTTTTTAGCTATCTCATTATATAGAAATGAGAGTGCAAATAAAATATCTACTATTATAGCAGTTAGGGTGAGACATTAAGAGCCTGTTGCAGGACAGAAGAGACAGGGTTCTGCACAGTAACTTTCATTAAGCTCCTTTGAAAATGGTTTTGGCCTGAACAAGCTACCTCATTACCTAGTTCAATATCACGCATTGTCAGAGCTGCTGTTTTTCTTTCTTTTTTTTTAAAAAAAGCTTTTTTATTATTTTTATTTTATGTCTGTGAGTGTATTGCCTGCATGTATGTGAGTGTACCCGTATCATGCAGTGCCTCAGAGGTCAGAAGAGAGTGTCAAATTCCCCTGGAACTGGAGTTAAGGACAACTCGTAGCCAACATGTAGGTGCTGGGAATTGAACCTGGGTCCTCTCCAAGAGTAGCCAGTGCAGCCATCTCTCCAGCCCCTGTTTTTCTGTTTAACGAAATTTGAGTGTGAAATTTGTTGACATTTGGTGACCAGACATTTTATAGTCAGTAGAGGAAAACTGTCTTGCTATCTGTTGTGGTTGGCTTTGTTAGCTTGACACACCTGGGAGGAGGGAACCTCAGTTGGGAAATTTCCTCTATGAATTGGCCTGTGGGTATGTCTGAGAGTTGTTTTCTTGATTGTTAAGTGATGGTGGGAGGGCCCAGCCCATTGTGAATGGTGCCACTCCTAGGTAGGTAGTCAGTCCTGGATTATATCAGAAAGCAGGCTAGCTAGGCATGGTGGTGCATGCCTTTTAATCCCAGCACTCAGCAGGCAGAGGCAGGCGGATCTGTGAGTTCAAGGCCATGGTCTACACAGTGAGTTCCAGTATAGCTGGGGCTACAGGGAGACCCTGTCTCAAAAAGACCAAAAAAAAAAAGAAAGAAAGAAAAAAAAAGAAAGCCACAGGAGCAAGCCAGTACACAGGAGCAAGCCAGTAAGCAGTGTTCCTCCTTGGTCTCTGCTTCAGCTCCAGGTTCCTGCCTTGAATTCCTGCCTGACTTTGCTCAAAGATGGACAGTGGTGTGGAAGTATAAGCCAAATAAACTTTTCCTTCCCCCAGGTTGCTTTTGGTCAGTGTTTTATCAAGCAATAGAAAGCAAATTAGAATACAGTCATTTTCCTTTGTTCAGTTTCATTTGAGTTCAACCTTGGCACTTTGATGGTATACTGAAATCTTAGATTCTTAGAATTCTTTTTTATTTTTCTTTTCAGAGTTTTAAAGCTAAGTGAGATGAAAAATAATAGCTCTCAGCATCAGATCTCTGAAGATTTTGTTATTTTTGCCAATAGAGAAGACAGAGTAAGTCAAAAATATTTTTTTACATCCTGTATAATTTTCTTTTTTTAAAAAAATTATTATTTTTATTTATGTGTATGAATATGTTGCCTCCATATAGGTAGGTACATCTGTGTTGTGCAGTGCCACGGAGGTCAGAAGCAGGCATAGTATTCCCTTGGAACTGGAGTTACAGATGATTGTTAGCCACGACCATGTGGGTGCTGTGAATTGAACCCAGGTCCTCTGCAAGAGCAGTCAGTGTTCTTAACCGCTGAGCCATCTCTCTAGCCCCCATAATTGTCTTTGTATGTAATAATATAATATGTAGCTATGTTTGCCTTTCAATAGACTGAAAATAGCACCACAACCCTAAAAAAGTCTACTCAATTTTGTCTACCTTAGTAGCTGGTTTTAGTCCCATTTGTGTATGAGATTCGAAGATAGTTAGTATATTGAGTTTAGTTTTTGCTTATTTTCATTTCCTTTCTGAGTTTCTCTAAGTTTTTTAGTGAAGAAATATCAATCTTTGGTTCTAAATAGTTGTGTAAACTTAGGTTTAGTTGAGGTGTTTATATAAATCTTTTAAAGCCAGATACCATACATTAGATCCATACTATTAGTATATAAATTAAGACCATGAAGAAAGTGATGAGAAGGGAAATTTCTAAAAGCGGGTCCAACTTAGTTTTCTGTACTATGCTAAGGCAAAAGTCAGTGGAATGAATGACTTAATTTTTATTTATTCTGATATTTATGTAAAGCCTTTGTTAAAATGAATTATTTTTCCTGACTAATTAGAGAGGGGCTGGCTAATTTTACCAACTTCGTTAGTGCTATGTCGCCTTTGATTGCATTTAATGGAAATTATCCTATTTTTGTTTTTTCCCTTCTGATAGAATGAAAACTTATTCACTGTTACAGCTTCTGGACGGGTGGTAAAAAGAAGCTTCAGTCTTCTGGATGATGACCCAGAGCAAGAGGTATTGCTTTAACCAAGATAACAGCCAAGCTAGTCTGCTTGCATGCTGAATTTCAAATTAGTGCTTCCTAGGCCTTGGGGTAGACATTGGAAGTGAGGGATTCCCTACAACAGAACAGTAAGACTGTGTGCCGTGCTGCTTTGCCATCCTCTCTTTCCTCATTGGAATTATTCACAAAATTTTATTTGCAGTAAGGTTCATAGGGCCAAAATAATTAGAAAACATCATTAGTTTACTAATTGTTTTTTGATATATCCATTTTCTAAGGGAAATTTCTTTTTTTAAAATTTTTTTATTTAGTTATTTATTATTTTTATTCTATGTGTATGAGTGTTATGCCTGCATGTAGGTAAGTGCACCCGTGTTGTGCAATGTCTGCGGAGGACAGAAGAGGCTGTCAGATCCCTTGGAACTGGAGTTACAGACAGTTGTTAGCTGACATGTGGGTGCTGGGATTCGAACCCAGGTCTTCTGTAAGAACATTCAGTGTTCTTAACCACTGAGCCATCTCTCCAGCCCCGGGGAAATTTCTTAATGGAAAATTCTTCAAGGGCTGGCAAAATGGCTCATCACTTGTGTGCATACCTGATGACCTGAGTTCAATTCCCAGATCCCACGCCTTTAATCCCAGCACTTGGGAGGCAGAGGCAGGTGGATCTCTGTGAGTTCAAGGCCAGCCTGGTCTACATAGTGAGTTCCAGGACAGCTGGGGCTACAGGGAGACCCTATCACAAAAAGACCAAAAAAAAAAAAAAAGAAAAAAAAGAAATCACTTATCAGATGATTTCAAATAATAACTATTGGGACTGGGGATTTAGCTCAGTGGTAGAGCACTTGCCTAGCAAGCGCAAGGCCCTGGGTTCGGTCCTCAGCTCCAAAAAAAAAATCAAATAATAACTATCACATAAATACTTAACTCATTAAATCATAAACTGTGTATACCTATGTGGGAACTAGTGTTAGGGTGGGCTTCTGAAGACAGTTTTCGAAAATCTTTTAAAATAAATTAAGAGCTGGAGAGATGACTCAACAATTGTTTTCTAGTATGTGACTACTATCAACAAATAACAACAGAAAAAGAATGTATAATTTTGGGCTATAGAGACCTATTGAAACAAAGCAGAATGCTCCCTGCCCTGTATAGAAAAGCATGTTCAATAGTTACTAAAATATCCCAAAAGAATCATGACTGAAAAGAGGGGAATGAGGTGGCAACAAAAGCCTGTTCTGTGTCATGAGATTAGGAAACAAAAATCTTGAGCCTGTAAATAAGAGTTGACAGAGAATTCTGACTAAAATCTATAGTCAGGCAAGAAATAGTCCTTTAAAATTTGGCCATGGCTAGGCATGGTGGTGCACACCTGTAACCCTAACACTCAAGAAACTGAGGAAGGAGGATTGCCAGTTCAAGGATGATCTGGGTTCTGTAGTGATATCTTGACTGAAAAAAATCCTCTGTACATTTTCTTACTGTAAGGTAGTGAAGGCAGAAAATATAAATGGTTAAAGAGCAAAGTTAACCAAACATAAGTGAAGGGTTAGTGCATGGTCATTAAGAGGAAACTCACTGTGAAAGCCCATCAACCAAGGTGTGCCTTCCTGCATCTATCCCTGGCTTTTTGGGTACTGATCTGTTTCCCCGGAAAGACTGCTAAAGCCCCAGGTTTTCTCCCTCGAGACTGAGTTCTGTTCTTTTTCTGTTTACTATTGCTAATTCCTCTTGACCCCATCCTGCTCTGTGGATTGGATTTTAGTTCTTAATATTGCCTCACTTTGCTTTATTTTTAAAAAATTTACATTATGTATATGTGTGTGTACACATGTCCATTTTTCTTTTTAACTTTTTTTTTTTTTTTTGTCTTTTTGAGACAGGGTCTCCCTGTAGCCCCAGCTGGCCTGGATTTCCTATGGAGACCAGGCTGGCTTCTAACTCACAGAGATCTGCCTGCCTCTGCCTCCCGAGTGCTGGGATTAAAGGCATGTGCCACCATGCCCAGCTTCTTTTTTTTTTTTTTTATGTATATGAGTGTTTTGCCTAGATGTATGTACATGCACCATATGTGTACAGTGCCTTCAGAGGCCAGAAGAGGGCATCAGATCCCCTGGAACTGGAGTTAGAGATGGTTGTTAGCTGCCATGGGGTGTTAGGAACTGAACCCCTGTCCTCTGCAAGAGCAGCCAGTGCTCTTAACCACTGAGCTCTCTCTGACCCCCTACTTTGCTTTCTTTAGGGAATAAAAAAAATACTTTTTTAAACAAAAAGTGATTTGGGGAGATGACTCAGTGCATAAAACACTTTCCATGCATGTGTAAAGACTCAAATTTGGATTCCCAGCACTCACATAAGCCAGGCATGGTGGCCCACCTGTAATCCCAATGCTCAAAAGGCAGAGACAGGACCCTCAGGATAAGCTATCTAACTAGACTAGCTGAATCTGAGCTCTAGGTTCAGTGAGAGACCCGGCCTTGGTAAATAAACCAGATACCAATCAAGACACCCAGTGTCAACCTCTGTCTTCCACACATACAAACACACATATGCATACATACACATGCAAAAACAAGATGGCAAATAGAGTTAAAATTAGTATGTGATGGGGTTATCAGTCCTTCTTGAGATGGCTGTGTTTTTCTGGGATGAAACTGTTAGAGTTCAGAGAGCATTTTTCAGGCTTCAGATAGATCTGGGCTTTATATGTTTAGACCTTTGTAGGAACACATGGACACACATTTCAGAGGCAGCAATAGGATACTTCTTTGTATCTGAAGAAGGTTTAGTTTGCTGTCATTGTAAGAATTTCAGTTATCTTTTGTTTCTTTCTGTCAAAGTCTATAGGACATTGCTTAACTTTTGAAAATCTGAAGAATGACTGATATTTTGCTAGGTATATAAGTAGAGGTGCATTTTTATTGTTCCTCCCACTCAATCATTCTTCTACCTTATTTTTGTAAGAAATAGAATAATTCAATTATAAATGTGGGAATATCATCATTAACTGAATTCAACCCCTCTTTATCTTCTTCATCTGTCTCCAAGACTTTCAAAATTGTGGACTATGAAGATGAGTTGGACTTGCTTTCCGTAGTAGCTGTTACTCAGATAGATGCTGAAGGAAAAGCTCACCTGGATTTCCACTGTAATGAATATGGAACTTTACTTAAAAGCATTCCACTAGTAGAGTCATGGGATGTGGTAAGTATAACCCATGCCATACTAAGTTGTAAGTTTCCTTTATAGGTGCCATTTATTAGAACATGTCCATGTCAGTCCAGACTCATCTGTGCCATAACCGCATGAAAGAAGTTATTGTCTAATATACAAGACAAAATGAGTACTTCTTAAGCCTTCTTTCCCTTAGCATGAGGGGATGCCTTCTTACCATATCCTTGAAGATAGAACTTCTTATGTTTCCTGAGACATGTTATTTCCTTACCATAGTCTTTTATTTTCTCTCAATTATAAGTTTGGTAACATGTTTTAAAATGAAAATATAATGTAATTATCTCCACAGTTATTGTATAAAATGCGCTATCTAAGCAAGTTGGGTTTCTAGCACTTGGAAGTACTTGCTCTTCCAACTATTATATAATGTGAAAGAAAGTGCTGGAGCAGTAGCTCAGTGGGTAGAGAGCTAACCTAGACGAGCATACAGAGGCCCTAGGTTTGACCCCAGCACTGCCTAAAATTAGGTGGTGACAGTGGCATATAAAAGTTACAAGGAAGCCAGGGTTGGTCATGAACATAAGGAAATAGGGCCTTTCAGGCAGCTGGGAACTTGTTCATATGTACTTGTAACAGTGGTGACAGCATGCACAAGACCCAGGCTGACTCAGTCAGACAAAAACTCAGTGTAGAACAAGGGAAATGGGCAACAGGCCCCAACCCTAGCTGAGGAACTATTGGCAACTGATTACTGCTGGGTGAGGGAGAGGGGATCTTTTTTTTTTTTTTAACAGAAAAATTCATTTTTAATACAATTGACACTAAGATGCATATGCTTTTCTAATCTCTGTATATCTGATTATTACTAGTCACAGTTGGTTACTTTCTGAGCTCCTTAGCATCTGAGCATGGATATAAAGTCATCAAGTAGATTTCAATGGTAATGTTTTTCACATCTACTAATTATTAAGGAGTAAATTTTTATGCTTTGAAGAATTATTTTTTTTAATTAATTAATTTTTTTTTACGCCCACTTCCCAGATAGCACCCTGCCATAGCCTCCCCGCCCCCACTAGAGCCCTTATACTCTGATATCCCTGCTACTGCCTGCAGTATTGTCAGCACCCCCAGCCATTCCCCACTACTTGCCCTTCTGGTGAATCTAGTCAGTCTATCTAGAGGTCTTTGTTTAGGAGGGTCAGCTGTTCCTCATCTAGCAGTAATCAGTTGTCAATATTCTTTTAGATAAGATTGGGGTCTGCTGTTCATTTTCCCAGTTCTATGCTGGGTTACTTCTGGGAGTCCCTTTGGCTACCCTGGCCAACAACTCAAAAGAAGATATCAGCTGTCTGGCATTGTTGCTTGTTATGTAGCCTTTAGCTAAGCATATGGACTCTTATGAAATTATATTGGCCCCTTTAATCTTTGGTTATACTTTCCTTTTGGGTGTTTAAGGCCATACAGTTGGTCCAGGTAAACCAATTTATTTTTACTCTGAAGGTTGTTTGAGGATCTGTTCCTCAGGGGTCACGTGGGCTTGGGAGGAGC